TTACTTTTGACCTCCCAAAGTACCAACTAAAATTCGTCACAATATATAGAGATATTATGGTGTACTTATCCGTCCAAATAAATAATTTCCATTCTCAATTATACTATGTACAAAATATTTAAAAAAACTTATTATTTATAAATAAAAGTTATTATAAGTTTCTGATAAGCGAATTGCTGTGACAAGGGTGATACTGATAAGAGGCGCTGTATCTAGACGCTCATCGTTATAATGAACAATTATATAAAATGCATAAGTGCGTCACGGGCGTGTGGAAGGCGTTTCTCAAAGACGCGCCGTTACGTCACAAGGCACAGGCAGTGAAAACTTTTCACTGAAAAGATTAAATTAAATATAACCTTAAAACTATATAACAGTAAAAAAATATTTAAATCTTTTTCTGTGATTAAAAATGTATTAAGCATTTTAATATAATCAGTGGCGTATTTACGGGGATGATATAGAGGAAAGATTCCCCTTGAGCTATCATTTGTTACTTTTATAATATTGTGATGTCGATGGTAAGTGAACTACCCTCTACCCTTAGGGAAATKTTTTCTAATGTAGGTATATCCCTCCCTCGACAAAATCCTAAATACGCCACTWTATACGATGTAATACGATTATAACTATCAATGTAATATTACAAATATATATAAAATAAATAATATAGTAGGGAGAGTGGAGACCTCCCCACCCCTTAAATACACAACTGCCTTAACCAGATATTCTTGTTTATTCCTTATGTAAAAAACATGTTTAGCATAATAAGTTGTTTTAATAAAAATATAAAATATTGTTGTATTATATATTACCTATACTACATGATTGACACACTTTACTTCCAATGTATATGTAGCTATCAAATGTATTACACTTAGTACTTACTATAATAAATAATAATATTAATATCATGCATGAATCATGATATATGATACGGCTGTTCAATATACATTTATAACATAAAAATGTTCGTAAATATTATATAATATTATGTTAACACTGTTTATTGTTATTATTATTAACCTATGTATAACATAATGCTAATTTATTTTTATTTTTTAGTTTTAGGAACAATAATAGTAATATGTACTTCGTTGGAGTGGACGTCGGTACAGGAAGTGCTCGGGCGGCGTTAGTCGATGGTACTGGACGAATTCTAAAAAAATCTACCAATGTTATTCAAACGTGGAATCCCGAAGAGAACTTTTATCAACAATCGTCCCAAGACATATGGCAGAGTTGCTGCAAAGTCGTGAGGGTAAGGAACGAGAAACTACTTTGTCCCTACAACTCGACTWTAATATTATTCGAAAATTATCGATGATAATATATAGTATAATAATATTCTTTTTGGCCTAATACCAATTGGCRATTACCATTGTTGATATTAAACTTATATTTATATGGATGTGGCATTCTATACATAAATCTGTAAGCTACTATGACTGATATCATTGTCAACTGAAACTTAGTTACATCTCTTTTCTCTCTTGTTTAAACGCAAGTTTCATTAACGTTCAAAAGCTGCTATTATGCGAGTGAGAACCATCATCGTCTCTTTCTTTTCTTTATGATATTGCCCTAAAAGTGTAAATGTAATGTTAGAAATTCCGTGTTCATAATACTCTAATATACTTATAAACCTACACGATAAATATTGGAATGTGAATATATATATACATGTTATAGRAAGTCACCAAAGGAGTACCATCCGAGACTATCGGAGGTATTGGATTTGATGCTACGTGTTCTCTGGTAGTTGTGRACAGTGATGGACTACCATTATCAGTAAGCAAAAACGGTAAGAATTTTTTTGTTATATCTTATATAAATATAGATATATATAAGTAAGCAATAAAGTGACGTAATTAGGAATTAGTTCAGGGAGAGCCGGGAGAGGGGAAATTCATATTTTTTTTTATTATTTAACATTACATAATATAAGATGTGTCTCATAATACCCGGCCTGTAAATAGTATAAAGATGAATATAATTATTATAGAGCGAGATTATTTTAAAGGTAAACACTTATTTTTTCGAATACTATTTACATTTTTGAAAATATTTTTTCACACATTTGAAATCGTTAAAAACAATTTTTGAACAAAAACATGCTGATGTTTTGACCTTTAAAATAATCATTATTATCAAAAATATGCACAATACAATTTTATTGAACATAATATTATATGTTTTATGCACATAATCAAATTAATAGATAAAATATAATTATACCCACATGATACAGAATACAAACATATACAGTATACTATATAGTTTACACTATACGGTCTATACGTACACTATAAATTAAAATATAGTGTAGGTAGGTAAGTAGGTAGATAATTTAATAATTACGATCATGTCTTCAAGTCATATGAAATCGTTGTTTGTAAAAACGCACAGCATAATATAATAAATTTGCGTTCAACAACACCGGTTTTGTGGAATTATAAATTATCATTATTAGGTACATAGGTCTATGACAGTGAAATTACCTATTATCAAACCTAAAGTTAAGAACATTATCTGTGAGTGTAGGTACTTCATTTTGTTACGATTATTTAATTTTCAAAGACGATTTATCCCAATACTGCACTATAATCTATAACGCCTCTCAAAATATCAAACTCAACGTTTCAACTTTCAACAACACACAATGCCATCTACAAAAGTGCTGATCTTATTCTAAAATTCTAGTTTTATTTTCAATTAATTTATGACCAGTACCTTTAATAGATAGAAACTAGTTAAAACAATCGTTAATAATCGTGGTCTTTACTATTATGTACTGGTGTACTTGAGGTCGGGCGCGGTGTCTACTGTTGTCTGTCTGTGTGTACAGATATTCGATACAATTGAATACTGATAAATCTATCATAAACTTCAAATCGGCTTAATTTATTATAATTTCATAACCATTTTTAACTCATTAAAAATAAAGACATTATTTCTAATTAAACTATTTCTACAACGTAAATTACCTTATCTGGTTAATTATATCATCACATTGTCACCTATTTTCAAATTCAGATCATTAAATCACAGAATAGATTAAAATTTAATCTATTCTGTGATTAAATACTGCTAAATAATTATATAAATATTAATTTTTGATAAAATTCATATCAGGGTTAAACCAAATTGTATTTATAAGTGTGTGTTGTGTGTAAGCCGGTTGCATCCAATCAGGGAAATAATCGAGACTATTCAGATATTATACAATTGTTTGTAAATTATTTCGAACTTCTAAACATGTAACCACTAAGTTAATGTTATACAAAACAATTAAAGTACCTATTACAATTAAAATGACTTACCCACTTACCCAATATTTAAATCTAAGTTATATTAATACTAATGTTAAATAGGCTTTTGTAGGTATAAATAAATCTAAGTAACGAGTACCAAACTAAATATTCAAAAAATAATTCAAAATATCAAGTAGAGTTTATTTCCAATGACAAGTTATTAATTTGTATTTATTATAATATCRTATTATAATTACAAATATGAAATATATAAATATATGATCAGGGACGTATAAAGGGGGCAGGGGGCCTTGGCCACGGTCGGCAACATTTTAAGGGTGGCAAGAAGAATTAAATTTTTTAAATTTTAGTTCTATACTATGCTTTAAATTTTTATTAGTTCAAAAGTTATAGTAGAGACTATATAATATATATAATTTTTTTTATCATTTAACTATACCTAACTATTTTATCATTTTATTTTATATACCTAACTATTGTTTATTGATTATGAACGTTGAAAAAGTATAATATTAATTTTGATAAAACTGCTTATTTTTCTAAAACCTATACTATTGATTTATATTTGAAGGGAAGTACGAGGCGGTAAAAATCTTTTTGACCCTTGGGGCCAAATCTCTAAATACGTCTCTGTATATATGATTATAGGCGAACAAGAACAAAATGTAATACTGTGGATGGACCATAGGGCCAAGAAGGAAGCAGATTTCATCAACACAACGAACCATCGAGTGTTGAAGTATGTGGGAGGTAAAATATCGTTAGAAATGGAAACACCGAAAATTCTTTGGTTAAAAAATAATCTACCAAAAAACACGTTTTGGCAAAGAGTGGGTATGTTCTTCGATTTATCTGACTTCCTAACTTGGAAAGCTACGAATGCCGTTTCCCGGTTGGTTTGTATAATAATATATTATAATTTATAAAGCAGTGGTTTTCACGCGCTGGGTCAAAAGAGCTTTAAAAATAAGTCACAGACCGCAGTATTACTTGTATTTTTAACAAGTAATTAAAATATTATATTCGATTCAAAAATTTGRCCTGTTTTTGCTGTTAACACAATAAAATATATAAACCGGTACTTATATTTGTATTAATCAACTTMATTTATTTTTTTTGAAACACATACATGGCTATAAATGCTATAATATAATAAATAATAAATAATATTGGTTGCAATTTCGATAAAGTTGAAAACCACTACATATTACACTGTAATATTAGAAAAATAGCATATACACCTATAAGCCGACACCGCGGTGACTTGCTGTACACAAAAGGACTGTTTCGTTTACAGGTCACTGTGTACGGTTGTCTGCAAATGGACGTACTGTGCAGATCAAACGTTGCAGGGAGGTTGTTGGGATCGCTCGTWTTTCGAAAAAATTGGTCTGGACGATTTGAGCCAAAACGATTGGTCGGCGATAGGTTAGTATCACACTATCACTATCACTGTTTCCTCACGTCACGATGTTTAATTCCGCTCCGACCAATGCGGTTGTTTTACTTTGAAATAAACGCCTTTAATTTTTTATAAATCAGGTAACGAAATCTTTGAGCCCGGACGACCATGTGGTAGCGGACTGACCGATAAAGCAGCCCGTGAATTGGGATTAGCCGTCGGGACTCCGGTGGCCACACCATTGATTGACGCACACGCCGGAGGACTGGGAATGATCGGGATTGGGTCAAAAAATTTGACGAACTCCAGAAACCGATTAGGTAAGTATTAAATAATTTAAATACGACATACGTACTTATTACTATTATACGTGAATTTGAAGGTACCTAAAACCTACATTACTGAAATATATTTATTTTTAAAAATATGCAGGAAAAAACTTATTCTAATTTTTAAGTGTGGAAAACATATCAAGTAGAGAAATGCCAATYGAAAATATTGGGGAAAAAAGTGTAGATAGGTACATATTTAATACATGACAATATTGCTATAAATTTATAATTTCTATCAACAATCCCGCTCTACGCTGCACATGTCTTTTGAAAGATATAAGTATATAACTAGGTATACTATTATAATAATAATAACAATAAAAAAACCACTTATACAGTGATATCTATTGTATAAACGTACTTATTATCTATTACCTGTACAATAATACAAAATATAATAAATGAGTTTTTTTTTATCCCATGTTATAAATTAATGAGGATTCCATGTAATAAGTAAAAACGTAACGTAATTCCCTCCAACTTTTACACAATTCAATGACCTTTCAGTATATATATATAGGTTTAGTAAATATATAATAAACTACACCTATATAGGTTTAGGTATAATATTATATCTACCTATGTAATATGTTATGGTATTCTATGCTATATTCTAACTATGTTATATAAGAAATAAGAAAATATGTTTGTTTATTTATATTAATGATGCTAATTATTCTGCAGTAATGATTGGGGGTACGTCGACGTGTCATATGTTACTCACCGACAAAGAAGTGTTCGTGGACGGCATCTGGGGACCATATTACGGTGCCATGGTACCGGGCTTCTGGCTTCTAGAAGGCGGCCAATCAGCCACGGGCAAACTGATCGATCATGTAATCAGCACTCATCCTGCCGCCAAACATTTGAACGTCACAGATGACCTGTTAGTACCTATTCATATAGCATGTCTTAATGTCTATATTATATTATAATATAATACATAAATAAGTCCATGAGCTTTTTTTTTWAAAGATTTACAATTTAATGTAGGTATTAATATGATAACTGTTGAATAAGAGTAATTTTATTTCAATTTTAATTTATGAAAAAAAAAATGTTACATTTACAATATTCATGTCTTGACATTCGCCCTAATCAGATATTTACAATATTCTTTTTGGTACTATGTAACTTACACGGAGATTGCAATGATTAAGATTTCCTTTTTTTTTTTTGCGAATAATTCAATTTTTTCCATCCACCTTTATATACGTATTAGGAGAGCGGAAGACTACCTGAACGGGTTACTCGTGAAAATGGCCGCTGACAAAGGTTTGGATGCGATCGATATGTTGACAGAAGACTTTCACGTATATCCTGACTTCCACGGAAACCGATCCCCCATAGCGGATCTCACACTTAAAGGAATGGTACGTGAAGGCTTTTAAAAATATTCCACATTTATTGTTTTCATATTAAAAGTGTAAGACAAAAAAAATAATGGTAACAAAGATGATCAAACTATATGTTTAGCATTTATTAAAAAACTAGTTAGGAAAACTCATCCTGCAAGCGTGCTTAATTACAGAAATCTTAACGTATTTATAATACAACATAATTAACCATAATTCCATAATATCCAATTTAAAAATAATAATTAAATAACCTTTATATTATGGTAAATACCTAGTTTAAAATATTGAAATATTTAATAGTAAAAAAATATTTAATATAATTCTATTTTAGAGTTTTTCAAAATATTTTTTATCTGCCTTTTAAAAAACATATTTCTTAAGTAAATTTTGTCTCGCAAGGGGGGAGTGGTAAAATTCAACTTAAACCTCCGTGAAATACACGCTAGGAAATTTGGGGGATATATGTTTTAATTTGTATTAGGCAATAGGCACGTTAATGTTAAATGTGGCTCTGGATATGACGGTAGGCGGACACAGCCTTCTAGAATAATCAGGGTACTGCAGGGAAAAGGGATGCAGATAAAATCATTGCCTTTAGCCTTTAGGTGCATTTGACCTCAATACATATCTCTGATAATCCCRACAAGTCGGCGATGATGTGATGTGATGYAAGAGTTTTGTATTTTATTTTATATTTGTGAGATGTAGGGAGGGGATGAAATAACTTTTCGAAATATATAACTTTAGTAGGTACTACACTATACAACCCCTATTTTTCACAAAAATTCGTACTACACATCTTTTAATGTACCATGAAATAATACAGAACCGTGGGGGGCTAAAAAAATTTTATTTTTTAAAAATGTGTATAATGTATTCTGTACTACCTATTACTATAATCTAGCAATTAGTCTTATTTATTAGTATTTAGTATAGGTATACACACTTCTCGAATCCGTAGTGCACACATTCAATTTCGGATTACACACTTTGTGTCGGGGTTCACTAAAAAATAAGACCTGACACTATATTACAGGGCGTTAAGGGAGATGGTGTCATACTCCCCTTTTAGATTATTTTTGTCCTCTAAAATATATGATATAACAATGAAACTATACTTAATACCGCTATATGATATGGTCTATAGAACAGTAAAAAATTCTTAACCCCCAGCCCACTTTCAAAAAAGCTGAGGACTATATTATTATCAATAGCGATTAGTGA